TAATAAGAAATTAATAATTTTATTCAGCAAGGATGCGCACATTGATCAAAAGTGACAGTAAAGAAATGTATGTTTTTTTCTATTTCAAATAATGCTTAAAGGTCAAATATATATCACTCACCCCCTGTAGCTACATGTATTTCCCTTAATGAATGTCCGTAGAAAGGGAAATCGAAGGATAGATTCACTCTCTATAAAGACAAAGAAAACCCCACTAAATTGTGTGCACAAAAATGATTAACAATTACAAAAAAAAATAAAAAATACTTTTAAGAAACTTTGTTGGTGATTGTATGATCGTACCAAAGTTTGCCGATGTGTGTTGGAAAGAATTCCATGAACTCTTCCCATGTCCATTTGCTCAATATTTACCCACAAATCCCTGTCTGGACTATCTGTGGGCCCATAGAATTTGGATGTGTAGTAGATATGGTCCATATCTCTCTGATGAACAAATATACACATTACTTACAAATGTACACATGAGAGAGTATTTTATAAATATGAGTTAATACATTCTTGACTGTTCACCTTAATGGATAAGTTATCATGAGTCTCATTTGTCACAACTTCTGGAAAGCGCTCTGAATCCAATTTGCCATGCTCTTTATAACGTTCCAGATCCTGGTTCTGACTGATCTCATCCACTGGTCTTCTCCATCTTTTATTGTAAAGCTTGAGGTTTACACCAGCACTCTCTTGCTTGGAAAGCCCTTCAAAGGTAAAGCAGGAGACCCCTGATGAATAAAGATTAATTATACAGTATGCTTGCATTGTCTGTGTTGCTACACAACAATCACTGAATCATTGATAACCTACATGCATGTGAATTGCTCTCTAAATCACAAAGAAGTTCACATAAAATACAATACACATTCAGCTCTTTGGAGAACTAAAGAATGTAACATTGATAATAACTTTTAGGAGCTGTGCAACTATGGATGAAAATGACCTTTTATGCAAATAAACACAGTTCCTCACATCCTGCAGTGACAAGCTTCTGTCCAAAGTACTTCTTTCACAGGAGAGAGTGAAACATGCTCAGAATTCCTCATAGCACTGGATGGGGGAGTGTGAGGCCAGGACAGTGTTTTGACTGGGGTAACACAGAGTTTCTGTTTGCTGTGTCCTTCTCATTTGAATTCTGCCAACGTTGCTTCTATACTGTACCTATATCTCCAGAGTAAGCTGATGCTAATGTGAGAAATAAAATCAAATAAATCCAATAAAAACTTGAGATCATGTATATCTCAAGCACAACGTGCTGTGCTGTTCTTTTCCTGTCTGGCATTGTAAGTATGTGATATGCCCTCATGGTCTATCGCATTTATTTTCAACATCGTGACAGAGACCGCAGAGTACAGTGAGCGTGCATGGGCCAAAAAATCTTCTGCATGCATGGGTAGGTGCTTGAGTAAAAAACAAACAAAAAAAAAACCTTAAAATTATTAATACTCATTACAATTAGACTGCTTCTTCATGACAAAGTCAAGCAATAATCTTTCTGTTCTAATTAATAATAATGCGTGCCAATGCCTCTTAGATGATTTATGGGTCAGTGACACTATTTTTGTCTTGATCTTAAAAGTGTATTAAAATCCAATTCATAGTCAGTCAATGACTTGAACGCATATGTTCTATGATAAAATGCTTTTACTATATTTTTTAACGGCTACAAATATATAGGTGGTCTATATGAGTTATGAACACAAGGTATGGAACATTTCATTTAATTTATTTTTGAATAACACTTACAGACAACACATTTTGGTGCTTTATAAAAGCCATCATACAAAATAAAAACAATACACAATCAACAATAAAATCGTAGACCTAAGCAGTATTAAAAGCCACAAAATAAATTTAAAAAAGTTTTAAGTGAAAAATGAACATGAGCATTTTACAGTATTAGGAGTTCTTGGCTACTTTACCTCAGTTTGCAGGTAGTGAGATTTAAACGTTTAAATTCATAAATTATGAAAGTAAATAACTCTTAAATAAGTATAGGTAACACTTATTGCGTATTTTGACGACTGAATGAAAAAAAATGGCAAAAAAGATAAATAAATAAATAAATAAATAATCACTTACCACTGGATGGCAATTCCTGTAAGGTAAATTTAATCTGAATAACTGCAAAAATTCCTAAGAAAACATGTGGTCTTGCCCTCAATGCCATAACAAACTGTATTTAATGTGTCTCCTTTGAACATTTAAATGAAGGGAGAAGTAGGCAGAAAAGTTGTTGAACTGCACGCGACCGGGGCGCATAATGCGTGCTTCAAACACACCCACGCGATCTGTCCAGTGACGTGCATATGAGGAGTTCACGAGAGTTTACAATAAAATCATATTTTCCACCACTGTCACTGAAAAAAGACGATGAAAGCTTACTCAACAGTACAGTTCTAATCATTTTGGTAACTATAGTATTTTTGAAGAAACTATAATACCATGGTAAAATTGTTGGCTAATGGATATACATGTGCAGACCTCATTTAGACGACAAACATATTCTAACATTATTCTAGTGTACTCCTAAATATGTAGCCTACTTGAAGGAAACATTACACACTGCCATACCTCAGATATGAATGTTGAAGATGTGTTTGAAGAACACGAAGCATGGAAATCTAAAATGCAATGTTTTTTTTTTCTTTTGGAAAAACACTTTTAAATATAAGGTATTTAACCACACTGAGAATATCACTCCGGAGTCAACCATGTCTCCTGAACGTTAACAGCAGACTTTGTGTCAGCATAAACAGAGCCATATTAAACAGTGGTTTAGCAAACCTTAAAGTAGTTTAACAGACATTACAGACATAAAAATCAACGTCCACCTTTCATTTTGATTCATCTGAGCACTTAAATTATATTTTATCCTTGCTTGTAGGCGTACTTGTATGGCTGAATGTGGTTATGTGAGAGGCTCGTTTGAAAGGCAGCAAGAGAGAGCACTGGTTTACCGTTAGGAAACTGGTTCCTGTGAGAAATGAGTGGATTAGGGGAGTGTGACATGTCTCATAGAGCTGAGAGGATTTTCTGACCCTTTGGTTTGGAAACGTCAGACAGCCCTCTCCTGAATGATGGTAGGTCAGCTCAAGATTTAGGGGTTTAATAAAGTCGTTTAAATCCAATGTATTCCACCCAAGACTCTGTTTGCTGAGATTTCATTTTTGGAAAAAGGAAATAAAGGAAGTCTAAAGGTGAATACTAAATCCCATCGAAACTATTGAAGGTCAAAACCCATTTCCAGTACATCAGAAAGTTATTGTAATTTGCCTAAACTAAAATTTGAGCAGCAGTCATATGATATGGTGTCATATAATACAAAACCAGAGAGCCCTAAATATTGCATTAGTGTTTACTGATAATATTTTTAGCATTATAGTACATTTTAAAGGGGTCATATGATGAAACATTATTTTGTGTATTTGGTGTAATGAAATGTTTATGCGGTTTAAGGTTAAAAAAACATTATTTTCCACATACTGTACATTATTGTTTCTCCTCTATGCCCCGCCTTTCTGAAAC